ACTCTTGCTCAGCATGTAGGTCTAAATTTTACTTGCATTTTGAACATAAAATGTTAAGTGTTTTTCTATTTCCTGTCAGGTTTTATTTTTCATTATTTTTAAAAAACTTTATTTTGTTGAAAAGTTGCTTTAAAGAGGGATATGTTACATGTGTAAGGTAAGGAGTATGCTTCTTGTTGAGCATTGTTACCCACTTCTTTCTTGTTCTCCCACTATTCCATCCCTCCCCACAACTCTTACCCCTCCCTTCTCATGGTGCAAACTTCATTTTCAACATAGTGTCTTGTGAGTATCATTGTTGCAATGGATCATCCTGTGATGAACCTAAATTTTCTATTTCTCTAATCCTAATTCTAATTTTGTCTGGGATCCTAACCCTAACCATAATTATAATGATAGCTCAATTCAAATTTAACAAAAAATATTCAGGTTTCTATTCATCCTATTAATTTACTGTACACCTTGAATTAATTTGCAGTTTAGCTTAAATCTTCCAAATTAGTTTATATGCACATGTATAAAGATGTAATTTTATGTGAAAAACAGAAGATTTTTGGAGGAAGGAGTAATGAGAAGGAAATAGAGGGAGGATAATCAAATATGTGAAATATATTATGGAATTGTCACTTGTGACAATTAATATCCATTAACAAAATCACTAAAAATTAATAAAGACACACTGCCTTCTAGTGTTCTTTAAGAGAGCCATGATCTGTCTTCTGAAAAAAAAACAAAACTTGTGTTAGATAAACTTTGTCCATGCATAATTTATATTGTTGTCCAATTATTTAACTTAATGAATATAAATTTGTCGAATAAGATTCCATGACAAAAATTATAAAACAGTTACTTAGCAATTGTTTGAGAAAAAGTTATTGTCATGAGTTTTAGGAAACGGAATTGCTATTTCCCCACAAAGCAATGAATTAGGTTTACAAATCTAGTATTTGTAGTAAGTTTAGAGAGCATAATTCACATGAAAAACAATTAACTGTACATCTTGTTTCTTGAATGAGTGATATTTTAAACATTGTCCTTTATTCGAATAAATACTTAGGTTTTCATTTCAAAATAAGTGCAATTTTATCTCCATTCAGAACAAGTACTTACCCGGCAATTAAATGTACCAGCATATTTAGGTATTTAAAAGCTAAATTTTCTATGTTTTATATGCAGCTCTACATAATCAGAATGACATGATTTTTTTATTCATAAATATCTAAACTCAGATTTTTGCTTCATCAATATAAATTTTCTCATGAGGTTGTAGTGAAGGCTCCAGTAACCAGAGTGGTCAAACCATTTTCTGAATTCTAAATTTTAAATCAAATCATTTTTAAGCTTTGATAATATCATTTATTGTCTCTTCAGAGCAATTAAGCTAAAACAAATACTACTTTTTAAACATTTCACTCACATTGTAAAGAATATTAACATAGGTCAAAAAGAGACTAATTATTTCAGCCCCATCATATTTGGTGATCTTAGTGTGAAGAATGTAGAGAGTAGAAGGTCCTTATACTCAATAAATAGTTTTGATTAAATTAAATAATATATCAGGATTTCTAATTTGGAGATTAATCACATGGAAACAGGAAAATAATAAAAAAATTATTTTGGGATGAACAGAAAAAGATATTTGTGCATGTAACCACAGTTGCTTTATTATTTTGTAGTTGAACACTGGACTTCGATTTATATCTTGGCTGTTGTTGTGAATAATGTGAATAACAATGAACTACAGATACATTTATGAGTTACCCAGAGAGAAATAATCACATGATTGGTGTGTCAGATGATATTTCAACGTTGGTTTTCTTTAGAAAACTGCATACTACTTTCTACGACGAGAACACTAACCTGTATTTTGACCAAGAGTTCAGAAAATTTCCTTTTCTCCACAGTGTCGCAAACCAACATTATTACCTTTTGAGTTTTATAAAGGGCAGGTTTTTTACTGTGTGCAGTATCCAAGACTGGCCTTACACTAAAATCCTTTTACTCCAACCTCCAATCCCTTGGAATTACCAGCCTTTACCACCACACCTGGTTCCTTGGATATTTTTGACAAGAGTTATAATAGTTAAGAAGTAGTATCATAGTAATTTTGAATTGCATTTCTCTCATGACTTCTGCTTACAAAGCATTTAGCCAGCATAGAAGTTGTATCAAATACAAATTTGTAAATCCACAGGCGATTTTCAGGGCTTTTTTGGAAAATATGTCTATTCAGAACTTTTGTCCATTTTTAATCAAGTTTCTTGTTAATGTCATCGTTAATCTCTCTATAGAAAATCAATAATTAATTCAAGGTAGTAGAAAGGAAAAAAATTAAGCAGCTCCTAACATTTTTAAATTTTTAAAAACGTGATATTCCTTTAATCATTTTCTCTTAATGGTTGAGACTATATAACTCAATTTAGTTAGACCTTTTACAAGGCTATATATATTTTATTTATTTTACTTTGATTGTTCTTTCCAAAACCTGCATGACTGATTTCACTTGGTTTCTTTCAGTCTCATGTAGTTCAGATTTCTAACTGAAGAATAAATGGAAGGAAGCAAAGAAAAAATATATTTCCCCTCATCTGATGATGCCTCAACAAGAATGAGGAAAGTGTTCATCCTTCTAAGGACCTATGATAGAATATCAAAAAGACAATTTATTCTTCTAGGTCTTCCTTATCTTTGCGATGTAACTTAAATGATGTAAAACACAATATACTGTTCAGATACTTTTATGTTTTATCAGTTTTGCACATATTCATATGGATTTCACCTCAGTCTACAACATTACTTCATCGTTCTGTCCCTGATATTTTTACACTATCACAACATAAGATAACCAGTTTGATTTACAGCATGAGAAGTTATCCACCTTGCTTTCTTGGAAGCAGAGCATGGTCAATAGATATTACTTCTGGTTGCTCACACTACATGTAATGGTTTCTGTACTACTTATCACATTCTATTTAGTATTTAAAAAAGAATGCTGGCTAAAATCAAAGCTCATTGATAGGTTTATGTTAAGGGTTTCACAAGTTTTATTTTCTTAATTCTTAAGATAACATTTGCTATAATGCTAATGTTATTACCAGTTTAGTGTTGGGAAAATTTGTAGTTAAAGATAGTCAGTGCATGGCCCAAAGACACACACAGTGAGGAAGGAAATGAGTCAAAGTTTCCAAAAGTCTTTCAGTAATACCAAAAAGGTGGGTAAAATCTCTCCATTCTCTTACACTCTCAATTCAATATTCATATTGTCCAAGAAATAATAACATAGCAAATATTGCCCATAGTGATTGTTTTTCTGTCACATTTTGTCTTCAATACAGACTGTGTTGGTGACATTGGGTTATCATGCACAGAGCTGAGCTTACAAATTGAAGTCTGAAGACAGCCAAATTTCTTCTGTCCCAAAGTTCCAGTTTCTTTTTTAAAAAGTACTAAAACTTTTAAATATCATCACTTACTATCTTTTAATCTCCAAACGAATTAAATTGGCATGTAATCACTCCAAAAGGCTTTCAAATTAGGTGATGATAAAATAGGCCCCATGAAATAAATTTTCTTTTATTTTTAAAATTATTCTAAATGCCTTGTGCTGGCTGGTCACACTTATATTCCTATCTACTCTGAATATTTGCTCAGGACACTGAGATCTGTGGATAACACTTGGGAGCCAATCAGGGCCAAAAAAAAAAAAAAAAACTTCATTGAATTATTTTTCAAAATGTTTAATGAATTAGCAAAGGGCCAGGAATTTAGATGTAGCTTATATAGTAGCTCACCAATCTAGATAGCAAAGGCCTAGCAAGACCTTGAATCCCTGATTTTAAACTCTGAGCACGCCAATATATATACATGGCGTGTGTTCGCATGCATGCGCGTGTTTGCTTGTGTGGTGCTGCACTCACACACACTCATTTATTCAAATTACCTCCATCTCAGTGTTCTGCATTAATTTCTTTGTTATTGATATTATATGGGTAAAATAGAGGAAATAAACTCTTCCATCTCAGAACATTTTTATATGTTTTTATTCTAATAATACTGTGCAGAAGGGTCACATTTACATGAAAAAGGAGACTAGTACATTTCCTAACAAGCATTGTTACCTCCTCCTTTATATTTCCCCTACCATCCCTTCCCTCCCACCTCCACAAGTACACTCCCCTCCCCCTTCCTTCCTCCGTCTAAATAGTAAAGTTCATTTTGCAACATAGTGTCTTGTGCATCACATTGTTACAATGGGTCAACCTGTATCCCTATTTGAGCATTTTTTCCCTTCCACTCCCCAAATTAAAGATGCATACATACAAGATGTAAGTGCACCAACTTCAAATACAGAGAAAACAGGGATTATAGCGTGGGGAGAAACATACAAAGAAACAAAAAAAATGACAAACCACATTATAAGTATGTTAGAAACAATAGCAAGAAACAAAAAACAACTTGGGTCCCTATCTTGGGGTTCAATTTCTTTAACATCATCTTATCTGTTTATATGCACATATATTTTGAACTTTTCTGCTTATCCTAGACATATATTCGTTATTGAATATAAGGGAAATCATGGGACCTATGATTCTTTGGACTTGGCTTACTTCACTCAATAAATTTTTTTCCAAGTCTTTCTATTTCCTAACAAATTGGACAATGTCATTCTTTCTGATGGAGGCATAGAATTCCATTGTGTATATATACCACATTTTCTTAATCCATTAATCTAATGGGGTCATCTGGGTTGGTTCCATATCTTACCTATCATAAATAATGCTACAATAACCATAATAGTGCTGGTAATTTTAGTATGGTCTTGTTTATGATCATTTGATTAAATCCCTAAAAGTGGGATTACTGTGTCATAAGGGAGTTTTATGTGGAGTCTTTTGAGGAACCTTCATACTGCTTTCCAATGTAGTTGAACAAGTTTACACTCCCACCAAGAATGCAGTACAATTCCCTATGGCCACAGACCTTTCAACATCTGTTTTTGTAAAAATATGGAACGCTCTATGAATTTGCATGTCATCTTTGTACATGGGGCATGCTAATCTTCTCTGTAGCATTCCAATGTTCGTGTATGTGATGCTAAATTGAGCACAGAACATTTTTTATATATAAAGTATAATTTTTATTGATTTTATTAAACTAGACATTTCAACAAAAAGTAAGTTCAAAAGAATTGTTGTGAAATTTTAGAATCATGTATTTCATACATAAGCACACATTTAAGAATAAAATCAAGATAGACATGCCAAAAACAAAATAATTCCAGATATTTGTAGTTCAAGAGATGTGTAGGAGGAGGAATTCAATTATTCTATGCAAGGCACCTGTCAAAATGAACATTGCAGCAAGTGTTAAGGTTTGTTAAAAATTTTAATGTTTTAAATATGCTTAATTTTGGGATTTTGCTTATATATGCCAAAAATAGGACTGTTTGGCAGGTATAAAACTTTTCTGTAAAGTATTTAAGATTTATGGTAGCAAACATTAAGTACTAAGTATATACATTTCAGAGCTTAAGGAAACTTTATTAATGAGAAGTTGCAAAGTCTTTGTGTAAAGAAGCAGAGTGAAGAATTAAGAGTTTAACTACACAGTTTCTGTTAAAACTTTAGGGATTCCTTACTTTATTTGTTAGCAAGGAATAAATGATGATAAAAGCCATAATGTACACATGCATGTTACTATTTACACACATACACATACACATGTATACATGCACACATGGAGAAAGACACATAATTACAACCAACAAAAGTTTCACCAGTTTTTGAATATGCCTTAAACGGAATACTCGGAACAATATATGTTGAAGATGTATTTGCCTCTAAGAGTTCTTTTACCACTCCTCTTATCTCTTAAAACTGGTAGTTTTAGAGAGATTTGACTTACAAAATGCAGTACAAGTGGTAGCAAGTCACTTGGAAATCTCAGTAAGTATAAGTCATATGGTGTCTCCCTGCTCCTCAAGGAATGCTTACTCTTGTAGACACTCTCAACAACCAAAGTAGCAGGAGAATACCCTGGTAAAGAGTAAAGTTAAAAGTTAAAGTTAAAAAGAGTAAAGTTTAAATGGCGTCCTTATTGAGCTCGTTTTCCAACAGCCAGCATGAATTCCTAGGCAGATGAGTGAGTCCTCAGAAAACTGGACTCTACATATACATTTAACTAACCCATGTGAAAATTCTTATGTGAGAAATGCTGACTGAGGTCTTGCTGATTTCCTGGCCAAGAAAATAAGAAAAAAGAAGTATTTTTAATGTTTTAAAGTTTGAGAATAATTTGTAGCCTGCCAATAAATGTGTAGAACACAATTATACCAACTGACAAAAAAATGAGGGCATTTCATTTATTTGCTCCTGGAATTGGCCAGTGATTTTAGATGTGTCTACACAAAGTAGAATCAGCATAAATCAATCCAGCATTTCTTCGTTTAAGATATAAGGAAAGGATACTGATTGACCCATTGTTACAATGAGATATACAAGACACTCTATCAGAGGGTGGGTGAAGAGGGGAGGTGCGGAGGTGTGAAGGGAAGGGATGGTAGTGGAAAAACAAAGAAGGTGGTAACAATGCTCAATAAGAAATGTACTCGTTACCTTACTTATGTAACTGTAACCCCTCTGTACAGTATTTATAATAAAAAATATATATTAAAAAGATACAACAAAAACTTCTATACTTATATGAAGTTGTATTTGTCACTCAATATAAGTAAGGTATAAGTTTTAGGACCACAGGCTTATTACTTTGGATACTCAAAATCTTTACATGAACACAGTATATTATTTACATTAGAATCTACCCACAAACTAGTGCAGTACAATTGCTATGAGAATTTTTACTACATTCTATATTTGTAATGAAAACTAAAAGTATGTGCACTATCAACAGATACAAATTTTTTCAGATAAATTTTGTATGCAGTTTGTGGATGGAATTTGGAGAGCAATTTTGAAAAGCACAAATTTTATGAAAAAATCCAATCTGCAAATTGTAACAAGGAGCTAATACAGCATCATTGAATAGTATGGAACTTCAAGGAGAAGTACTTGAATTGAGAAAATAGCAGAAAGTTTAACAACCCAAGGAATTTTTGGAAATGCAGCTACTAGATTTCTCATGTAGAGCTTTCATAACAGTTTTTGAAGCACAAATCAGAACCTCACTGAAGTGTAGATGGTTTTCCCTCAACTTTCTGTCATGATCAGTCATTATCAATCAACATATAGCTAATCTTGAATAATCCTCTAATAAAATGTTGATGGAGTGTTTATATGCAGAAAATCTCAGAAGGCTAACTTTTTCCAATTAGGACAGTCTGTATTCTATGATCCAGCTGAGAGAAAACTAGGTAAGCATCCATTTACAACTTTCTGAATAATTCTGATTTTGCCCGCATTACTTATCTATCCATACCTGTGCCCGAGTGAAATGATTTTAAAAGAATTTATCATTTAAAATTTAAATTTAGGGTACCGGGAAGATAGCAGAGGAGAAGCTGGAAGGTAAACAAGCTCTCACATAGAAAGCAGTTTTAGTACTCCAGTGAAGAGTCCTAAGCCAGAGAATCACACCAAGTGTGCCATCACAGTACAGAGAGTAAGGCCAGAGAGGGAAAATCCAGGCAAGGAGACAAATCTGAGCACTTGCCAGCAGAGAGTCTAGGACAAAGGCTCCAGATGCAGCAGGCGAGAGGATTCTACTAAACACCAGCAAGAACCGACAAGGAACATACATCTTCATCCTTCAGATCGCAGACCAGAGACGACCCAGGAACCAGACTCTTGTGTGAGTAGAAGCCTCACTTCCTCACACCTTCTCAGGGAGCAGAGAAGGGAAGGCCACTGCCCACTACCGGAGATCTCCATCTTTGATACTGGCAAAGGCCTGGCTGATCAGCTAGCTCCAACTCAGTCCTTGGATGAAAACAAAAAGTCATTTAGCAGGTAACAGGGACCTAACCTTACCTGCAAGGTTCAGCTCCACCTAGGGAAAATTCACCCAGCCCAGGCCTGCGCCAGCCCCAGGAGTGGCTTTCTTCACTGGGTAAACAGAGCCAGAGGTTGTCCCTCCCTACAGCAGCCTAGACAATCAATTGAAATTCAATACCAATAAACCCTGAGAATGGCTCCTGGTTGGGCTCTGTGACTGCCTCAGAAGCTAGCCCCTCAGGGAAAAGCTACTGTTTGCTGAAAGGCCTCATCTCTGCCCAGAACCTAGCCCCATCACAGCATCTCCAAACTAGAAGAAACAGCCATCACCCTTTTTTGTGATACTCAAAGCAAATCTCCCTCCCATTGAACTAGCCTGGGAGGAGGATGACAAAATCCTGGGTAAAGCAAAGCATTTTTCTGCCTGCTCAAACAAACTGACTTAAGAAAACAACTAAGCTACAGGAAAATCAAACACCATAAGGAGACCAGAGACTCCAACAAGAGACTGGTTATGGACAAAAGGGAGATACGGGATCTTCCCATCTCACCCCAAAAAAGCAAAGAACTCTTTTTTGGTACCTTTTATTAAAATTTTTAACATTTTTAATTTTTAATTAAAAAATTGTTTTCTATTAACTTTTTTTTCTTCCTCTTATAATTTTTATTTTAGGGGTATATGTGTGTGTGTGTGTGCTTTTTTTCATTTTTGTTTAGCTCTATTGACCATTTGATACTTTTTTCCTTTCTTTCTCATTCTTTTCACTTTTTCTTCTCTTTCATTCTTTTTTGCTTGATTTAATCATTCTGCTCATTCTCAGATATACCTGTATTAGATTATTAAACCTTATAACCCATTGTATACACACTTAATCCAGAAATTTATTACTGAATTCAAAACCTCTTAGACTTAAATTCCTTAATAGCCGTACTACCTCTATATACCTATATAAATTTTTAAGCATTTTTATTTTTTAATTTTTCATGTCTCCTTTCTATCCCTCCATTTCTCTTTTCCTATTCCCGTCCTAATCTGAATATTACGTTTTTAATTTGCATAATTTTTATGTGTTCCACTTTTTAAATTTAATTTTTGTTTTACTATTTTTCCTTGTCTTTTTTTTCCTCTTTCTTTTTTCCCCGGTCTCTACTATCATTCTATCCGACCTATTTCCTGCTTTGAGATTAGGACTAAGTTAGCTCTCCCTCTACCTTTCCAGAACCCTCTATTCCTATTTATACCCACATTTCTCACTAAACCTAATAACTTCTGATTTGCCAAATTCTTCTTTGCAGTTTGTAGCCTATTAATACATAGTTGTTTGATGTTGAAAAAATATATCTGTTGAACTAGATTATCTCTGCAGGCTTTTGACTGTGCAATTACATATTTTGTTGACGCTTGCCTTAAGATAGTTTTCTAGCACAAAAGTGGTGTTACCCTCATGTCAAAAGGGCAGAATAAGCAGGAAAAAAAACAGAAGAAAAATGGCAAGTCTGGGTATCACAACTCCCACTCATGATAATCAGTGGACAGAACAGATAATGAATAATTCAGAGGAGAGCTCCCAAAAAACTCTACAAACACTAATGGTAAACATGGTAAATAAAAAGATTGAAAACCTGCAAAAGACTCTGTGTGAGCATGATAGGAAGAGAGAGGAGGCAAACCAAAGATCAAACAGGAAGCTGATGGGCGTGAGGAAGCTACTCAAAGATAGATAAAGGAATTGCATGAGCAGCTTGAGAACACTCAAAGACAAATAAAGGAATTGTGTGAGCAGGCTGAGATCAGTCAAAGAGAACTACAGGAATTGAATGAACGTGAAGAAGCTAATCAAAGAGTAACACAGGAATTGAGAGAGCAGGATGAGAATAGACAAAGATCACAAGAGGCATTCATGGAATCCATAAAGAGAGAGCTGAAAGACGCCAGGCAGTCCACAAAGGGAATGCTGAATGGATCCCAACAGATGGAATGGGAGGCCACGGAAACCATAACCAATCAACTAAGTGATTTGAGAATAAACACTGAACACCAAATTAAGGAAGTAAATAATTTCATACAAGATCTAAAACAAAGATCCAACAAAGAATTTGAAGCCACAAACACTGACCAACTAGAAGGAAAAGAAAAAAAAGAGTAGAAAGTCTGGAT